ATGTTAGCTATCAAGGAGCGATGTTGTTTTTTTCATTGGGACCTTCGTCCCTTCAAGGCCTAGAGTAGGATTTTTGATTTGGTAAGATGATTTACTATGGGGAGTTTTCAAGGCGGCGAATTTTCTAGGGGCGAGTTTGTAGAGGCAAGTTGACTGCCAACGCACCACACAACGTAAGCATGATCGAATGCGAGTCAACTCGGCACCAAGTCAACTCGGCCACAGTTTCGCGGCCCCCTAGTATAATACAGTACATTTTTAATTTGTTTTAAAATATAATAATTAGCACGTTGACATAAATAAGTTTAACTGGGTTCGTAAATACTGTAGCCTCAAAATACTGTGCCGAGACTTGGGCCGAGTTGACATTTATACCGCCCATGGTTATAGTGAAAACGCTGAATAGTAAAACCAAAGAGTATAAAACTGCAAGAGGTCCGACTGCCGGGGATTCTTTGGCACTTCTATTTCAAAAAGTACTACACAAAAAGGACGTGGCCTTTAAAAGAACGTAAAGTGCGTTCATATCAAACGCGTGCTGCGCGTTTATAGAATGTATGCTGGAATTCGAAACGCAGCAGGCGTTTGATACGAACGCCTTTTACGTTCTTATGAAGGACACGCCCCTTCATGGGAGTACTTTTTAATGTTCCATTGCCTGTATACAAAATAAGGGCAGTCGGACCTCTTGCAGTTTTATAATCTTTGGTAATACTCATGCGTCTCGAGCTGACGTAGAAACATAGAAAAAACGAGCATTGGTACCGTGTATGCCAATCTACAACAAGCGTCGCCTAAATGTAATAATTAGCATGCTGAAATAGGCTAGTAAATAAGTGTAACTGGGTTCGTAAATAATATTGGCCTCAAAATATTGTGGCTGAGACATGGGCCGATTAAACGTAGAAATAGGTAACCTAGAAATATAGTAAAAACGCTGAATAATACTCAAGCGTTGCGACATGCGAACGTTGGTACGTGTAGGTAGTCTACAAACGTCGCCTAAGTAATTGATTTTACCCGGCAGAACGAAAGAAACAAACTCTGCTTTTCAGTCGTCTTAGACTTAGTCCCTTGTTTTTTGACAAACAATGACCTTTCAGAGGTCAAATTGCTGTCAAGAATATGAATTGGCTGCCTCGCAGCAAAAATTGATTATTGATTGTATTTTATAATGATTACACAACCCCTACATTAGAAAATTTGTACTTGGCTAGACTATGTTTTTTGGCCTTAGCATAATTTTTTCCAATACTGCTATGATCTTTCAACCCCACATGGCTAGGCTTTTTTTGGCAGCCCCACAATATAATTATAAGCAGTCGAGCGAGTCCAGAAGACTGCTCTTCCAGTTTGGGTTCAGACATTGAGATAGCTTAGCCAGATCAAAGATAATTACCTTCTCTCCCCGAATTCTCTTCCAGTAAATTTTCGTATGTTCTCGTCCACATCATGCAGACTTTCTTTAGCCTTTTCAAGTTTTTCATGTAAAATATCAATTGCCGCACCACGAACACCCTCAACTTCATCAGCAGCCATTTTGCTATCTCGCAACCAATCAAGCCGTCAAGCACGCTCTGTGTACAATATATTGTACAAAATTAAATGTAAATTGTTTGTTTTAAAATTATTAATACTTTATGAAATGATTTATTTATTTACTTAAATATAAGTATTATAGAAGAAGATAAATATAAATATTTACTTTTAAAATGAAATATATGTGTTCATTATTAAAATAACAACTGAAATAAAATAGGTTGAAAGTCAAGTGTGAGACTTTTTGACGCGATACATGGGGATGATGGTTCGCTCGAAAAAGAAGAGGGCGCTGTACTGATTTCACGAAAGCTGCGAGAACAGTGGACAGCGCACAATGGATGATACACTTTTCGACTTTCTTCACTTAGAAATGGTAGCACATATTATTCGAGGAGCAAAAAAGAAAGATGATATCGTATGTGCCATCACCGTGTTTCACCTTCATTATTATTGGGATATAATACCATCCTAAAAACTATCCACGGCACAAGTTAGGCCTTAGCCTAGCTAGCTAGGCGGGGGAAAACTGTCAGTCGTCCTCCGTGGACCGTAGTCGTTCGTGAATACTTTATGCGCTCTCTAAGGCTTAAGCCTAGGGCTAAGTCGTGTTAAGTCATTAGCTAGTCTAGTTAGGACCTAGGCATATGAATAAATTAGGCCTACGGGCCTAGACTTATTAGATCCTATAGCATTGAGGCCTAGTTCGATTTAGTTACTGCTGGCAATTCTATCTCATTGTTTTGTTCCTTTGATTGAATGGGGAAATGATAAATGAATAAAAACAAATAGGTTGTGGGACCAAGGTCCAAGTTGAGTTTTTGGGTGCGAGTTGAGTTGGGGCTGATTGGATTTGGAGACTATTTGAATTCTTATGCCTACCATGCCATTCACACAGGATCATGTCATAATTACTGCATCATATTATTTAAAAGAGAAAACAACTTTAATAAATAGTAGCCAGGTTAATTTTGTATATATCCACTATGCTCTCTGATTATTCCCAATTTAAATTTGTTCACTAGGATTCATGTATTACGAAGCTGGAAGCTATGGGGTACAGGGTAGGTCAGAGTTTAATTGAGAGAGTATTGAAGGAGGCTCCTCGCTTTAAAGATGAACTAGATGTCATGAAATTTATTTGCAAAGATTTTTGGTCAAGTATATTCAAGAAACAAGTGGATAATCTCAGGACTAATCATCAGGTAATCTACTTAATACCTCTGGATTATCTCTACTAATGTTGATCTTTACCACCATATTTCATCTACCCTTATCGAATAGACTTATCAGGGGGCGGATTTAGGGGGGGGGCTGGCCCGGCCCCCCCCCCCCTTTTGGGAGGAAAAAAAGGAAAAAAAAAAAAAGAGGGAAAAAGAAAAAAAAAGAGGGAAAAAGAAAAAAATAATAGTCCAGAATGTCTCAAATGTTATGTTCGGGCGTCTAGAACACAAAAATTTCGCGGGGGAAAGCTCCCGGACCCCCTACGACAGTGTTGTCTCAATCGGCCCAACTTTCGGCCCCCCTTTTGGACATTTCTGGATCCGCCCCTGCTTATATAGCGCATATTGTTAAGTCCTCTATGTGCTACATCATCAATTCGGTCGCTGGATTAAACGCTTGTGGATCACAAACTCGTGCTCCCTGGGGAGTATTCCATAACGTTGCAGAGCAGCTACATCAGCGCATTTAACCCTACCAGGTACCTACTTACACTCCTGTGTAGAGAGAAGCAATGCAGATAAAGTGCCTTCCTCAAGGAAACAAGTAAAAATGCACAGCGAAGGATTGAAACCCCGATCTTGAATTCCCGCTGCACCAAACCACTTCCATAATCTGCCTACCTTGATCCTCCATCATCTACCTAATATTGTTGATCTGATTTGATTTTCTTTGATCTACTTGGTACACTTTCCTACCTTGATTTATCTTAATATACTTTGCTGCTGTTCTTTCTGAGTTCCAACATCCATCCCCAAACTACCTCATTACTAATACTGTACATCGTCGTCTTGTTTGATTTTCAGGGCGTGTATGTTTTACAGGACAATAAATTCAAGATTCTGACTCAAATGTCAGCAGGAAAACAGTACTTGGAAATGGCACCCAGAGTAAGTATTTTTCTTCGTATGAGACACAAATAATTGAAGTAGGCCTACACTGCAGTATGTTGGTGTCAGTGGTGGTGCCAGTATTTGCCCAATGGGGGTGTCCGAGGTCCCTGAGGGGGGCGGGGGTGAATTCCCCCATCAAAAAAGATATACATTTTTTTCTCCCTGACAGCTTATACCCGAGAAACTACAGTATGGAAATTGCAAACTAACTTGCATCACATTATTATAATTGTAGATCATGAATGTACATATGAAATACTTGTGTTTAGTGTACTAAATGCTTATAAAATTTATTAAGCGAAAGACAAATTATATTTACTGAATATATTTTAAACAAAACTGTTGTGGGGGGAAAATATATTCTGTTAAGCAGGGAGACCTATGTATTAAAAGCTGGTTGCCAGGCATATTTTTTTTTTTTTGTTGTCTACTTCTACGGTAATACTGGAACAAACCTCGACTGAGTATACTTGTGCAGATTTTGCTAATCTCCAAAACCAATGGTATTTTAATTTTACCATTTTTATGGATATATAGTGAATCAATATGCTTGATTATTCAAGTTTGTCATCAGAATATATATATATATAGATAGGGTTTAAAAATAATTACCTTGTTTTGGAGTACCATGCTTTCCTTTTTCTTCTTTTCTTTCCTTTTCCCCCTTGTTCTCTTTTTTGACACCCGTATCCCCCATTTCTCCTCCTGACTGCCTTTGGGTTTCTAGCACACAACAAAGCCTGCTGTTGCATTGATCAGATCACATATTCTTTCACAGTGATGTTTTATATTTTCTTTTAATAAATTCATTGAGATTATTTCATTTCTAGTACGTTTATAAGTATATGCTGGAGAAGGGACCAATGAATCCTAAAATATTTGTTGAATAAATTATATATCCTGAAGATTAAACAACTATCACATGTCTGTCTTTATTTATTTTTTTTGACTGATGTAGAAGAATAGATAGTTTAAAGCTTGTCCGCACAATCTAATTGTATGTGACAAATAATAATAATAATAATTATTATTATTATTATTATTATGTCCATATTTAGATGTAATATGACATCATCAAACAAAGTTGTTACTAAAACATTCGCTAGTGTGGACAGAGCTACACAAATTAATATTTAAATGATCCTACCAATTTAACACGCCATGTTTTTGCATTCAAATGTTGTACCTAGTTGTACTAGCATTGATGTTAAAAGTGAAAAAAAAAATATTAACGATATTTCGAATTCCATAGTTGGAATATGTCGTACCGTATAGTAGCAATTCCAAATATTTACAGCATTCATTTTGAAAAGAATTTGTTTGCATAAGTAATCTAGAAAAGAAGCCAATCTTGAAAGGAAGCCCATCCACGGGTCCTCGAAAAAAGAGCCAAGGGCTTCTATTCGAGGTTTCACGATGTGGCCACAAGCTAGAAATACATTTCTTTGCAATACTTTTGTTTTTAAAATTGAAAACGTACCCGTAGTTCGTTTATGAATGTTTTTTTTTCTGTTCCGAGAATCAGTTGAAATTGTTCATGTTTAGCCATCTCAGTCCACTCCACTTATCCAGCTAGTTCTTTTTCATTATCATATTTATAATAACACATAGTTTTAGCAGGGGACGGTAAAACACTGTTCCATGGTTTCAGTGACATCCAGTGTTGGTATATGATTAATTAAATTGATAATTTTCCATCCAAAACGTTTTTTTTTTTGTTCGTTGGTTACCGATACCATATTAAACTTGCGGTGCATATGTCTTTATTTATATGATGCTGCAGCTGTAATAGTTGAAAAAGGTAAATACGTGCTTACTCAATAAAATGATCTTTATGCTGCAATTGACTCGGCGATATACTGTCCTTGGGAGCCATCATACCCTGTAGAGGCCCCAAACAATCACGCTTAAGCAGATAAAAATCACCTAAAAGCACCTTGCGAGCTGCGCCCCTCACCTAATCATCGAGACCCCATGTGACCTTCTGTCCCATCATCTCCCCCCCCCCCAAGGCTCCTAGATAGGCCACTTGCCATACAGCACAATTATAATGGCAGTTTTGGGTGCGCAGTGGTTTTCAATTTAATTGTATGATTGGTTTAATTGCTGAATAAATCATACAAATTAAACTGTAGCATAAATAATTATTTATATTTGTTGCGCATGATGCCGAAAACATATATTTTAGGCCTTGAAATGTGATGAATTTTAATACACACAGAGTATCATTACTTCGTTTTTCATCGGCCTTCAAAAAGCTGAGGCTGACGATCGTAACATTACAAAAATGAATGACCTTACTGAGCGCTTTAAAACCACAGCTTCGTTATTCTAAATACGATATGATCATAATTTTAAACATATCAACAATTCCAGAGGCCAGTTTGGACCTCACTAAGTGCTTAAACATCGTTTTATTTTATACGGTCTGTGAGAGCTCATTCGCGATTATCGAATTTTGATATTATTGCAATTATTCGCTTGTAAGTATTAGGACTATACAAAAAAAATTCAAAATGTATATTGTCCGGAAAACTATTTGATTTAGTTCATGAGCATTGGCGTCCGCTGGGGTGCGGGAATGTGGTGCCCAGTGGCGGATCCTGCCTGGAATCCAAAATAGAGGGGACAGGGAGAGACTTTCGCATGGTTGCTGATGCAAGCAAATGTATGATATGGCACTCTCCCCCTCCTTATCCGCCACATTGGTGCCTGGCGCTAAAAGTTGTTACAAACACCGTAATAACAGGTCTATTATATATAGCCGCCGACAGTATGCCCTATTCAGATTGTTTACTAAAATGAATCTGCTTGTAAGGCACCGGTGTTACTTCTCTGATATAATCAAACGTTGTCATTCATCATTCATCATCATTTAATTTATTACTAGGCATATACGCTACCGTATTGTATTAAGTCAGAAAATATTATACAGATATTGCCTGCTTAGAGGTGTAATATAACATTTGATATCCCCGAGGGAATTATATTTTTTCGAAGGATTATATATTATATATATTATATTTTCCCGAAGCGCGTAGCTCTGAGGGAAAATATAGTCCTGAGAAAAAATGTAATTCCCAAGGGGATACCAAATGTTAATATTACACGGATAGAAAAGGCAATATCTGTTATATTACATAGCCAAACATAGATCGTTTAGCCTAAAAATATAGTTGTAGTAGATTTACATGAGTAAACTTACCGGTACCGTACAGTTTTATTCTTTACAAAAACGTTTCGATTTGTTGGAAATCAATTTAATTAGGCCTATTAAACTTAATTTTTAAGCCTACAATCATTGTTTCATAAAGGAGTTGTTATTTGTGCTTTCATTATAAGTTTATCTTTCTGTTGAATGGGCTCATCCAGTGGACACTATTTTAATTTCACTTTTGAGGGGTTTTTTTTTTGTTGTTGTTGTTGACAAACGGTTTATTTGAATAGATAATATGGTGCTCATCCACTCACTTCCTTTGTAACGTATGGATGCAACCGAGTCTATACGGACGTTTTCCACAAGGGAATTCCCTTGATATGACACAGTGTTTGGAAACGCCCCATTACTGATGCGTCCATGCCCTGCTGAGTCGATCGATAACTTTCTTCTCAAGGTACGCACGTACGGTAAGATTCAGAAACTTAATAATAAACTTTTTGCATTTTGGTTGTGGGAGCTGCATGAAATAATTGATGAAATAGTGAAGCGTATTTTCTCTGCTGCAGTCGCTTCGGGCAAATCAGTTTTTACGCCGGTTGTGTGGTCTGAATGGACTGATGCAGAGCGAGGGAGAGAATCATCTTTCCATCGCGACTTCGCTTCCATATTTGGTGTTGGGTTAGGGAGTGATAAAAAGAAGTGGAGTTAAAAATAATTCCATGTAGTGTCTAAAAATATAGACAGGAAACGTAGCTGAAGTTTTTCAATGTAGGTCAGTCCTCAATGTTGGTATTAACTGTCTGGTCCGGAAGCCGACTGTTGCGCTAACGTGGATTTGGTCAGAATATGGTTTAATTACACATACATACTGTTCTTCTGAGTACGTCTGAGCACGGTCTGAGTAAGTATGAGCTTCTTGTTTCTTAATCATATATTCAATTTGGTGCTTACTTTTTCGTAGACTAAGTTTGTTGTCAAATTTAATAAACTGGAAAAGGAGTCTGCAGAGTTACGCTATTTTATCTGCACACTATCTGTGACCTTCGGAGTTATAAAGTTTTATACAGTTTTATACCATGTTGTGACTAAATTGCTATGCATGAATAACAGTTGCATATTATAAGTGTAGTATTCTTTGTTGTTCAGTGAAGTCATAAAAAATCAACATTGGCTGTATTCGACTGGTCGTTCTTCGTTAAACTACGTCCACCTGCGCAGTGGTAAAATCCTACTTAACGAAGACAACCAGTCGAATAGAAAACTGGTAAATACTCTATACTGCATAGATACCGCGATGCACACTTCATAATCAAGATTCCTTCGGCTTGTGGCAGTATAGATTTTTTGTAAAAGAATGATTTCATCCAGTTTTTGATTCTGTTAGGCTACAATTATTTTTTGACTTCATGTGTGTAAATATTATAATGTTTGTTTTGGTCACGTGGATAACTTAACGCAGATTAATGCACTCTGGTTACAATTTTCGTTGTCAACAAAGTCTATTTTATGAACCAGTCGAATGAAAATAATACTCAACGAAAATTCGTACTCAACAAAATGAACCAGTCAAATACGCCCGTTGACTGTTATTGTTTGTCAATGATAATTACAGTAAGTTCATACTGCATGGTGATGTGTGACTTCCGAAGTCCTGAACAAATGTTACATTTTATTTAGTATTCTATAAACAGTAGGGTTTTGTACTGAACTCGATTGTTGTGTAGATGTACTGTAACTTGACATATTATTGTATAATACTAATACCCTGTGAAAAAGCTTTTTAAACCTTCGTTGCCATTGATAATGCATAGTATGCTTTACCACATGCTATGTACGTATTGCATATATTAATACAAGTGTCTGATTCATTTTGTTTATATGTATTGACCAATCAGAAAGCTTGCCTTTCTTAATGAAAAATGCAATAAAATTTGTAACTTGTAGCAATTATGATTTTCCATATGGAAAGTAGTACAGGAACCCTTAAAATGAATTTATGTTTATTAATGGGCGAAGCATCTGCCACGATACTTCCTTATTTAGGCATTGCTGTGTTCGATTACCACTAGTACTAATTTTAATTCTGTGTGCTATACACTTACAATACATTTAGACTTCATTTTATATTATAAAATATGTTAACAAATAGTATAAAAGTATATATTAATGTGTTACTTCAGGCTGAAATAAATGCGTTGTGTTGTGTATGACTAAGCCGGGCAAGATGTGTATAAGAGACAGATATATGTACCACCTCTGTATTTTTTATGACAGGTTCGTAAATTTGCATTTGAACATGCATTGCGATCCTTTTGATATCAACCTCTTTTTTCTTTACTGTATTAATTGTTTAATGGTTTAATAACTTTGTTAGCCTACATTCTTTTGGTTTTACAATATATTTCCTTATGCGGCTCTTCAGGGGAAACTCTTTTGTCTATGATTTCGCATTATCGTCGTTTTAGTTTCCCCTTAGCGATACTACTTTCTCCTTAAGGTACTGTTTTTAACCCTCTTCATTGTTTTAGTTTCCCCCTATGGATACTTATAAGCTGTTTTATGGGTTTTTCCCATTTGCTTTTCAAACTTATATATTATTTAAGAATCTCTATTGAGATCCAGCGCCGCCATTGATGCACGGTAGAGATTGCATCTTTAGATCTCCGATCTTGTTCACAAATTTACGGACTAGTGCTGTCTCGTAAGAATTTTGTAGGACGCGTTAAGGATGACAAAATATTCTCTGTATCTACTGGAACCGAGCCGCATAGCTTGTATTCCACTATTTGCATTCACACCTGGGCATTCTTTTGGTTTTACAATTAAGTTTTTTAAATTTTATGTTTTGTATTAAGGTATTTCGGATGCACCATGAAACTTGTTTTATGTGTGCCACTGTTGTAAAAGAGAAGTCCATTGAATTGAATTGCAAAGATAAAAGCTCACCTCTGCAAAGAATTCAGATATGCAGTGACCTCTATTTGAAGTACTTTTGCTAAGCAATTACTATACTAAGTGTTTCCGCTTTTTTCATTGTTAGTTTTCAGTGGTTTCAGCCTCCCCTGGAAACTACACACAATATATATTATAGGTTAATTTAATGATTCATCGTCAAATTTTATACCCTAAATTTGCGGATGATACAAAGAATAACTATCAGTCAATTTATTTTTATGTGATATTAATTCGTTTACAAGACATTTTTTGAATATACTTCATCAAACCATGGAGGAAATATATTAATAATATTATATTTCCTCCAAGATCAAACAATCAGTAGATATATTGGAGAACCAGCCAACCAGAAAGATCATTATAATTAGGTAAATATGCGTGGTTGGCATAACAATCGATGTCAATAGTAGCGTGATAACACTAGGGAGGGAGACAGCTTGGGAGTACATTCACTTTCCTCTACGATACCGATAACAAGTGCTCTGCCTACCAGCGGAAAAATAATTTATATTATCATAGCATAATTCAGTGCATTGTGAAAAGCAACAGTTTAAGATTTATTGCTACTGCTGGAGCTAATTCCAATTGTAAGTATTATATTGGATCTATTGTAGGCATATGTATTTACTGTAGACTTATAGATATAATCTTAAGAGCATGTAGTGAGGTGAGCCCTATCTTGTATAAGCACACCTAGGTCAAACATGTGAGTCGGCTTTGCTTTGTAAATTCAAAGTCCAATCTCTGTTTGCTGCAATCAAAAGGTGTGCCATTAATCTTCCATATTGTATCGAAATAGCATTGCTCCTATTTTATTACAGAGAGATCGTCTTTAATTAAAACTTAAGCTATATTTGTAAGAATATTAATCTTGTTGGATATCAAATTTATATTCTTGTTTTGCACTTTCAGAGAGGTGATGTTAGATAATAATCCATAAACAGATTAAAATTATGGCAAAGCAAAGAAAATAAATTAATTTAGTTCTGCCTAAGCGCTCTTGTTCTCTTTCTGCTGCCAATGCTTTTATAAAAAAAAGTTTCTCAGCATTGAAAAGCTTTCTTATCACTGAGATAGCATATTGTAGTAGTACTGTACTGGTAATTTATATATTTTTCTATTTAAGCCTGTATACATCAGATTTGGTGTTACAAGTAGGCCTATAGCTACTTGATCTAAAAGACTGTCAGGTAACATAAGGGTCTTCTCCTTTTCTTTTTCAAAGGGTTTAGACAAAATTTTTAACGCAACTTGACAGTCAAAAGAAGAGCTATTTTTTGTTTAAAGAGTTTGGAAAGTTTTAAAAAAATGATTATTTAGCCAAAGGTTGATTTAAAAATCATTCACTATGATAGGTTATTTTATTATGCACTACTGACATAGTTTGTGATACTATGGAAACAAAATTGGGAGATAATGCAAATATTTACTTAGTGGTACTACACCCACTTAACAGTGAGTAGGCAACAACAATAGACTTTGGTGACCTGATAGTTTTGTACCTCTTATTAGTAGAATCGATTTTGGAATCGGTAATGGATATAGGAAGAAAATTTATGTTGGAAGAGAATTCTAAACTTCTGCAGAACTACTTCCTTATTACGGAAATGATGTACAAAAGTACTACGGAAATTTATCATTAGACCTGGACCCATAAATAAATAAATAGGTCTACACATTAACTAACATCCAGAACAATGATGTTTCCATCAGGATCTTAGGATTCATTATAACATATATTGTAATTTACTTGGTTACATTGTAATTTATTTAAATAAGTGAATAAATAATTGTCCACAGACAACTCTGTAAGTTGTCAGATTACTCATAAATTATTGTGAAAAAGTTACCCATACATTGCTACAGCTGTTATTAGCTGTACCTGTAATTTTTGCAACTCGTGTTTTGAACTCCTCGAGCCAAATTAATGGGTGCTATGGAAATATTTTATTTACTACAGATATTTACTGAAATGCACTTTACTAACATGAGAATTCTGGGTAGAAATGGCAGTAAGAAAAAAGGAGCAAAGCCTTCAATTATTGATTAATGCTAAATTTTATTGATGCTTAATTATAAATGAAAATTTGCTATAAATAACCTTGAATCCTGAATTTACTACTGTATACAATTTTGTTTTGCACATGTATTATTTTGAACTTTGGCCAAGTAAAAGAAATTCATGTTTCTCAAGCACCCAAGCTTTTTTTTTGAATATGAGAATGAGGCCACTTTCTTCGCCCTTCCCCACAAATACTCATTAAAGGGAGGATAATTAAATTTGTTATGCATTTTTGGGGTTCAGTTGCTAGAAATAAGGTTCGCTTTTCAATATCCACTGTTCATACTGTATAATGTCCAATAGTCATAAGAACCATTATCTATAAGGCTTACTAGTCATAATTTAAATAAATATTATCCACACGCTGCGGCAGCTTTGACCTTGGCTCATTTGCATAGCGCTGCATGCGCGGAGCCTTTTGAGTGATCTCCTTTTCAATGATACCATGGTTTTATGTACGTGCCTATTAATAATTCTTTTAATTTTGTTTTTCTGTTGTAAATTACTGTTAATAAATTTTCTTTTAACTTGTGTTCTTCTTCCACCAACAGCTTTTCTGTGTGCTTGCCTGCTTTGCACCTTTAACACTCTTCTCTTACGCTAGATTGCACTAACCTTTGTCCTGCCTTCAATATGGGAGTTGCCGAAATATTCTCAGCAATTTTGTGGTTTATTGTTCTAATCTTCCTTGCATGGCCTATTGGGTTCCTTGCTGCTGGTCTTTATATCTTCATAATGCCGTTTGCTGTTTGTATGAGTTTTTGTGGAGAAATATCTGAAATGGTTCAAAAAGTGTTCGAACTGCCAAAAACAGTGACTGAAAATATGGTCAATATGAAACCTATATGTGACAAGTAGATTTGCTTGATTTACTGGTCAGTAGCTCTACTACAGTATTACTACACATCAATTTATACATAAAAAATTTATTAACTAAAATAATATTTTTGAGGTCGAAGCACAGTTTAAGTGCGGAATCTTATTTTTATTATATACAATTTAAAATAAAAATTTGTCTGTGATTAAATATTTATTTTATACATTTTTTCTATAATTTATACTTTTGAACATAATAACAATGAAAAAATTAATAAAATTATATTGTTAAGTAGTATGCACCTAATATTCTAAACTTAAAAATTATTGTTTTGTTCTTGCTATATTTGCTATAGTTTCCTGAGTAATTAATATTTTATTTTGTTTTACAACAAACTGCGTACTACTAACGTAAAGCAACACAAATTGTGTACTATTTCAAAAGCATTCAAAACACAAGTTTTAAAATAAAATAGTATAAAAGTATATATTAATGTGTTACTTCAGGCTGAAATAAAGGCGTTGTGTTGTGTATGACTAAGCCGGGCACACACTAGTCCGATGGTCGTTGGCCGAAACAATTCCCTAGAAAACGCAACGCAATGATGCGAATGTAATAGTTCGTTTTAATAGATATGTTTGGGCTGGCAATTAGTAACCAGTGTTGCGTGGCGACCGTCGTACTACACAGCGTGTGCCCGACTTAGAACATTAGATATAGGCCTATTTTTCTACATCGCTCAGTTATTTAATAGTTAAAAATCTAATCCTTTAACAAATACAGTACATCTCTGATCTAATGATAGTTCAGGCTAATATTTGTTCCATTTATAATCAAAACAGGCTGACCTGAACTGTGACCTGTTATTAATATGGCCCCCGGATGTCCTGGAATTTGCTGGTCTATATGCTGGGTACTAATTTTGATCTTCTTCGCTTGGCCAGTAGCATATTTCGTGGCTGGACTCTACGTCTTCATACTCCCATTTGCTGTGTGCATGAGTTTCTGCAAGCCCATCAATGAGGTTCTCGAGAAAATATTTAAGCTACCGGAGACTTGTGCGGAGGGAGTTATGGGTCAAAAACCAGTCTGTTCGTGAAGGAATTACATGTTAGCATCAAGATTATAAGAAGAAATCTCTGGCAAAATGAATGAACTTTGCACACCAAAGAATATTAGAAAGAAATTTAAGTGCAGTAGTAACCTTTTGTACAATAAATTATAAAAATAAAAATAAAATATTATCATTAAAAAGAGATACTTTTCATCAGGGTTGAACTCCGTGTTTGTGGTGCACCCCCAAAAAGAGCTGTATTTTATCCCAGTTAGTAGCTTCTAGTATGTAGGCCTGCAACAGGTCAATTGTTCAAATCCCAGCGAGGTAAATTTGTATATCTGCCTAGTACATATTTATTATGAGATCCAGATATATTATTTTTGTAATGATCTCATAGATAAACATTTACTATATTTCTCCTAGGATATAAGCCCACCCCCTACTCTATGCTTAATTTTATATACCAGCCTTTTCTCGAGCAAAAGCCCAGGGTATGACATTTACAAATATTGAAAAAAAACAAAAACACATCAAATATTGGCTTTAAATTAGGTATACATTTCTATAGAATTACCATATTTGATTGAAAAGGGAATTCTCCGGGTCCCACCCCCAAAAATTGGCAAAATTTTGTGTTTTCCTGGGTGGGGATTGGGGGGAGTGGAATTATACCAGATGAAGTATGGTAATAAAATTTGATATAATATTAAATGTAACATCATATGATCTTGCAGACAAAATATGATATAATTTTGTTGTAGAGTGATAATGTGATAATAGGTCTATTATAAATTCTTGGTGATCTTAAATAATCATAAATGTATCACAACATTTTGATAACTTTAATTTACATAACTTCTAAGGATTTTGGCATTTGTTAAAGCACTTTTTTTGATATTTATTATAAGAACAATGATGATTTATGAATTTTGTAGAAATACTTGATAATGATATCATCTATTTTATCTGTTCTGAATTTTTAAAATTTAATAAATTGATTTTTTGAAATATTTAAAACTGTGTTTTTCATATTCTTGCATTTAATGACGTATTTTTTAAAAAGCTAAATTTTCTCACAGTGTCATCGACCAGTGATTACATCTGGATAAGTTTCACCACTGATAATTTCACAGGAGGTGAACTGGGCGGGGTAATTTGCAACATGCAGGCTGCATTCTGTGATGTTTCTAGTCTAGGACACTCATGGGGGTTGGGGTCGGAGCAGTCGTCCCATCAGGGTTTTGTTAAGGGTGTTGTGGATTTTTTAATGCATTTCTGATAAGAGGGCATGGCATTATTTTTGTTTTGATTAAGCACTAAACAATCCTGTTTGCAGCGAAGCAGATAGAAAATGTATTCCTCGTGTCAGGGGAAGACTAGAAATGTCTGGAAAGAAGGGGGAATTGAAAGACAACACTATCTTAGGGGAGGTCTGGCATGCCCTTGGGAAATTTTTGTTTTCTAGAAGCCTGAAAATAACCTCTGAGGCATTTGGGCGACCAATAGTTTCTTTTTCTTTCTTACTTTTTTACTCCACCCCCACTTAAATCTGCCTCTGGATATACATTTAAACAAATCTCCTCACATTTTACAAAAATCTGAACAATACAGATATTGATATTTGTTTAAAATTGGAGAAAAAGAATGGATAGTGACATGAAATAACCAATGAAAAATTGTATGCAGAGCTATGATTCAATTTAAAAAAAAACATAGATTTTGAAAAAAAATATTTTGTTTTACTTATGGGGTGGGGTGGAACATTCAGACACATTATACAGAAATTAATCAATAAATCAATCAATTGGCTATTTATAGGCATATATATCCAAGGGGGAGGTGCTTGTGCTCTACTGTCTGTGATTTGAGTAATTACTAAACACAATTAGTATGCAATCAGGCAGAACTTTATGAAGAGGAATTTCGTAACTGTCATAAAAAAAAAACATTTATAAAAATAGAACAATAACAGTACCTCATGACCATCTTCTTCATTGAGGTCAACAACCAATGAGTCTTGGTTATGGTACACCCATTTCTAATCCGACAGATTTCCTCACACAGTTGTTGACAACTAGGAATATAAGTAGTCTTGCAACTACCAGCAAATTCAAGGTATATTCAGTCTGCTCACTTGTGTAGTTAACCATATGTTGAAATATTTTAAACTGCTGTATTGTTTTCAACTTGGTTTCGGAATATATTTCTTGAATATCTGAAGACATAAACTTCAATTTCTAAAGAATACCTGATTTAGAAGATTTCTTATCTTGTCATTGAGTATCAGGTAAGTTTTTTAATATTTTGATTATTAAATCTAATCATTTTTATCCTATCATCATCATTAAGTGGGCATACAATTGCATTTATGATGAACAAATATATATTTTTTTTTAAATATATTTTGTAAAATTTTATAATTACCTTGAGAAAATTTGATTGTTGAATGGGTTAAAGGTGCATTTACATCAAATCCCAATTTCCGGATCTGTAACTTACCTAACCGATCGGAAAAATCGAATCAGTATGCAAGAATAAAGACGTTTGTTCTCTGCGGTTTTTATACTTTGGTTGGTATCCAATGTGAATGTTGCTTTCGAAATTTATGTTTAATCATTACGATTAGTGACCATACAATCAGAACC